AGAGGTATACATACATTAAATCTGATTATGCATTAAACAAGTCAAATTATCATAATCAAATCTTAATGCTTTCTTTTAACTAGGATGTCACAAATTCCACAAATTCCGAAGATACAATACACCTTAATCAATGTATACAGTCCCTTATTAATTCATCGAAAGCTCAAAAATCTTGTTTCGATAAAGGGGTTCTTGAACGACCTTTTTATTTGGTTTTAGTAGAAATGCTCTCACTTTGTTTTGAAAATGATGGTGAATTTCCTCAAAATTTAAAAACGAGTAAAGTTTTTATGCTCGAAAACACTAATTTATTAAGGTGATTATATTTAACTCCAAATTCATGGTCAAAATATAATAAATGTTTTTATACAAAATTCTTAAAGTCTAGATTGAATGAAATTGAACAAGAAATGAAGCAAATAATTAGTTCTTGGAATGGAATTCCTCTTATGTTTGAAGAATTTCATCGTAATTCCCTTAATGATTTTTTCTTTAAGGTAACTTTTTAGACTTGAGTGTTCTTATTTATATCATTAAATAGATAATCAAACAATGACGTAATTATTTGTAGTTTTTAACTCCAAAAGACTTAAACACTTTCCTTGGCCTTCGTACAACTCTTGGATCCGCTATTCAACTTCCACCATCACTATCAGAATGCCTTGCTGCTTTTACACATCATTATGTAAAAAAGAATTCCAAGCCAGTTCGAGCATCTGTCTCAAATATACTTACAGTTGGTGCTAAGGCTTTTTCTAAACATTGTCATAGAGACACTAGTGGATCTTTTTGGGGTGCTTGTAGCGGATGTAGGTTGATTATTTTTTTCAATCAAAAAAATTTTATAATATGAAAAAAAAAAAATTCTGTAAATTAAAAAAAATTTTTTTTTTATAATTATTAGCTGAAAAACAAAAAAACGAACAAGCTAATAATGCTCTGGCTAAAATATTGACAAATGCAGCGTGGATTAATTTACATTCACTACCGGTAATAATAATCTTTTTATATTTACATTATATATATATTATCTGTTGATCTCAATATTAATTCTAATTGTTTCTTTTTTAGCACGATACACGTGTTTTTGAAGTTCGCAACCTTGATGGTTATGGAGCTCGTTGGGAAATTTATGAACCTCAATACCAACAATTGCAATCGCAAATGGATTCAAGTAGTACCGCAAACTCTATTAAAGGTAATGATGGCACAAATATCATGTTTCGTGGGTTTTTGGAACCCCAAATGAAAGATGGGCATAGCAAAGGATGGATTCATTAAATTTCTCACTTACATACTATATTTTATTATTAATCAAAAAAAATTTCTTTTGTATGTAATGTGATATTTTAATCTGAATATTTATCATGGTTTATTATTCAACCATTAAGTAAAAAGATCATGCTGTCTTCTTTTTTAGTTCCCAATAAATTTATAAGTTCATTATTGTCCGGAGCGGAGGTTTCACTATCCAGGCTTATGATACCCTTGTAAGATAATAACATGATACTTTACAAGAAAAAAACATTCCTTTTCGATTTACAGAGTGATAATATTAAAGAAATAATGATACATATATTTATTGGCATCTAGCGTAGAATCATATATCAAAATTGAATATTCACATAGAATTATCTTTATTATTTAAATGAGATAACCTTTTACATTAATAAATAACCGATTATTATAGAATTCCAATCCGGATAAATCCGTCATAGCATTTTCAGATTCTTGCTGTGTAACAGAAATAATTAATAATTAGAAATAATAATTTTTTTTTTAAAAAAAAAGCTTACTTTATTAATCCATCTATCAAGCAATTCTTTATTAAAAAAAAATAGACATAAAATGTTAACTTTCATAAAAAACCTACGTTTTTCCGGGTGTTTTTCTGACGTGAGCGAACTTGTAATCGATGTTGTCTCGGATCCATTCCTCTAACACTTCTTCGCCAATGTCCTTATTAAGAGATACTAAAACCGTTTTTTAAAAAATTGATAAAAATAAAATTGCAGAGCCTAAGAAAAAGAGATCTTTAATTGTTATTACTGTAAATCGAACAGCAAACAAAATCAAGATTATAAGACTAAGAATCGAACCAGCTGTTCTAGCTCTGCATATGAGAGTGAATGTATTATTTGGTTCAAATCTAAAGATTTATCCTTAAGACCAAGAATCCAACCCATACTCGTAGCTCATTTAGGTGTAAGAGACCAAGCAGCACAAACCACATAGAGAACCGTGACGTCGAGAAAAAATAATAAATTTTAAGCTGAGATTAGAGAACTCAGTCGAGCAGGATCAAAAGTCCTCTGCGAACTTTTTTTACTTCAACAAGGTATGCATCAATTGGAACCTTAAAAAAATATGGTTTGATTCATTTTTTAATTTATTTTTAAAACAATAAAATACTAATGATATACTTACAATATTTAAAAGTAAGATGTAGAAATATTGAAAAAAGAGAGTGAAAGAAAGAGAATGAAAGAAAGAGAGAGAAAGATAAAGATAAGAAGATGATGTAATTGTAAACCAGAGATCAACTTGCAATAGTGTTCTAATATAGGGTGACTTTTAAGATTGATTTTTATATTATGTTCTCTTCTGCAAACTTTTTTTTGCTTTGTGTAATTGATGAGCGTGACATTTTCAGTGGTAGAATCACAATTTTCTTTAACTATGAACAGATAAACAAAATGTAGTGGGGCTTCAAGTGTAGAGAGAAAAAAACAACAAATATTATCAACGATAATGCTCACAAAAGAGAAAGCTCAAAAATACAAATATTATCAACGATAATGCTCACAAAAGAGAAAGCTCAAAAATTTAAACAAATATTTATACTTAAATTTACGCGTAAAAATATGATCATCAGACATTATCACGTGATACTAGTTATCAAAGTGTTCTTCGCTCCGGACATTAAGTGATAATAACTAAAATACTGTACTAAATCAATAGGATCAAACTGTTTAGCAGTCATCACAGTAAAATAAAAGGAGTCTCGATCTCGTTTGAATATTTTACATTAATTTTATACATACAATTTGAATTGATGATTCTGACATCGCCATCAATCGAGTGTGATTTCGGATTCACATTCTATTATGCAATTTTTGAAATTTTATTTAAACATTAAAAAGACCATATAAACACACAACCTCGCTTATCTTTTTATAGGCCTCAATTTGACAAATTCATTGACTTAAGTAGACTTAAGTAGAATTAAGTGACATAAAAAAGTGTATCTTAAATACAAAGAATAGAACCTAATAAAAAAATTATTTAAATTTCTAGGTTTAATTACAATGATGATTTCTTGTTACATGGTGGCTTAAGCCTAGACATAACTGGTCCGACCTAGACCAATCCGAGCTATTGTTACACAGTAATAATAAAATTTTATTCGTTTCGAACCAAGAATTTTAAGAGGTTCGAATTTACTTGAAAAAGTAGAAATAAAACAAGGTGTCATTGTTAAATTTGATGCTGCCTAAAACTCTGCAGATCAGTTTAAGGAGAAACTGTTACAGCTTATGCTATAACCAGTCACAACATAACTTATAAGCTTTAGCTAGTTATGGTTTAAACTGCAACAGTTTCTACCACATTTTCTAATACGCATTAAATAGTTACATCGTACCAAAAAATCATTATGCCTGTATGTATTATGATACATTATCTCATGATTTAGTACGTAATCAGGATCGAAACTTCATTTAATAAGAATCAGAAATTTTTCATGCAATATACTGAAGATAACTTTTTTACTAAAAATATATCTTTCTAGATAGAACTTCCTTTAGAAAATTGATAAATTGAGATATATAGTTGATCACAAGACATGAATAATTTGAACCAAAAAAAAACACTGATACTTAATACAGTATAATCTATCTTGCAATAGATTGTTGGCGATGGGCTCTAAAAAAAAAAAAGAATGAACATAGTTCATTAGTACAATATTTACTAAGCCACTTTTTTGGTCCATTGACCAACCCTAACTAGCAAGTCATTAATTTTTTTGTAGTAATTTAATGGCATGCTACTAAAAACTTTGCAACCCACTAGACCAATCTTGGCAATTTGACAATTATTAAAGATTTATTTAACGTTAGATTTAGTGTTAGTAAAAAATTTATTATTGGTGTGACATGAAACAAATTGGACGATTATAGTCGAGAATTTAATACTCCAAGTTTATATGTCGTGAATTAGAAGTAACTAAGAATTAGGATAAGAATGAGTAAGAATAAGGATATAATTCTAAGTAAATTAGAATTAATTAATGCTAGCTAAAAAAAATTGACATCTGAAGCAAGTCGACACCCATACAACATCATATACAGTATATACTGTGTATTACTTTGTGTAACGAAATTAAATGCCATAGACAATTTGACCAATTTGATCAGATTTAACCAACCTTGGTTAATACGGTGATACATGCGCATAGTGATTGGCTTGGATGTCAAAGGGGGCATTATTTTAAAATGCGTTGACAGTGATATCAACGAAACTAATGAATGAACATACAAAGAAATTCGCTTTATGACTTACGTCGTTTCTAATAATAAATCAGGTAATATTGTAATATTGGAATCAAAGATCCTAAAAAAATCAATGTTTAATCATTTTGACATTTTGGTATACTGTAATTGATGTGATAAAAATTTAATTTTGATCAAGCTTAGCAAAAATTCCTGAAGCCTTATTTATAAATAATATTTAAACCATTAATAACGTTAAAAATTATTTAAATATAAAATGTACTGTACGTTACTTACATATTTTTACATATTTTTTTAAACCATAAAATTTTTTAATTCAACATAATGATAGAGGAAAAATATTTCTAAACTTTATTAATTCAGTAAATTGCAGTAATTCTGTAATTGTTTAACACTGCATTATAAAACTTAGTGTCACCTGAATTGACCAATAAAGTCTAATAATCACTTTTTTTTTTGATCACGAGAATTTTTCAATTTTTTTAAATAATGTCTATAAATTTCTTTCGTAATTTAATGGCAGAACCTTCTGCACCACCGATATCGCAAGTTTCAGTGATGAATGTCGATCAACTAAATGCGCAACAATTACCAAGGCAGCCTCAGCCGCCATATTATCCTGCACAATCACAATTACCCGTTCCACCAACAATGGCGGAAGTTCAACCTCCGCCTCCAGGATTGCCTCCACGTCCTGTAGATTTTAGTACTCAACAAAGTTACGATCTGGCCCCTCCTCCACCATTTCGTGCTGCTGTTCCTGCTTCGCTACCACAACTACCACAGCTACCACAGCTACCACAACCACCACAGCCACCACAACCAATTGGATCCACAAAGGAGGGATCTACTACCAAAACCGATATTACAACTCCACCACCAATCTCTACCCAAGTTCCCATACCAAAAAAGCCTCCACAAATGAAAAAATCTACTCAGCCTCTTCATTTACTTCTTCTAGAATGTTGTAAAGAGGTAAGAAAAAAAAATTAGTACTTTTAGCACACTAAAATAATATAAATGCTCAAATATGTTAAAAGGGAATTTTAAAAAAAACTTTCGTTGTTGATCGGCTGTTTAGTATATCACTGGAAATCTGACGACAAAATCTGAAGAAGATGTTAAAGAGTTATTAAACGATCGAAAGAAATTACATGCTGATTTACAGCTCTATTGTACCGATGTTATTCTAACATCTGCAAGAGATCGAATTTTGAACGAATTAGATGACGTAAGAGCAGTAACCGTAAAACTATGTTTATCATCTAATTATAATTTTATTTTTTTTCTGAAGCACTCGTAATTTAATTCAGAGAGGGAAAGAAGCTTTGAAAGATATTAGCCCCGATTCTGAGGTATTTTATTATATTTCTTTTTATTTTTATTTTTCTTATATATATTATTTAAAAAAATAACTAATGTGTCCTTTTTTTAAATTTAAATTTAAATAGATAATAAAATTAAGATTTGAAGAAGCTGCTGCATTACATAAAAATTTTACTGACGCTGTTGATGAACTTAAATTGAAGAACCCTAGTTCAGATGAAGTGACGCAAGATGCCCCCTCTGCTGAAGAGAAAGAGAATGATACTAATAAACCACCATCCGAACGTAAGAATGTGATAATAAAGTTTTTTTTTTTTGTTTTTTTTTTTACAATTGAACTTATTTTACATTTTTTAATTAATTACTATCTAAATATTATAAAATAAACTTAGCTCTTACGCAGGTTTTTCGCTTGTGGGATCAGATCAATAAAAATGATGTTATGGATAATCTCCATACTACACACATGGACCAATCTCGTAATAGAGGTAGAGGTCAGAATCGTGGCGGATACTGGCCACGTGGTACTCCAAGACATGCTCCTTATCAAAATCAAGCTCAAGGTCAACGTAGACGAGACTGGGGTGGACGTGATGACAGAGATTATAGAGAACGACGTGGAGATGAACATTATAATAGAGATCGTCGTGATGAATATCCTCGTAGGGATTATGATCGTAGACAAGACTTTCGTGGTCCTAATCCTTCCCCAGCTTTTAATCGTGAAAGACAGCAACAGATGGGTAGACGTGATGATTATCATAGAAATTATGATGATAGAAGAAGAGATTCTTATGAAAGGAGGCCTGAAGATAATAGGCATCCTAGAGATCATCGAGGTCCACCAATTCCTTTAACAATAGCTACTCCTAAACCTTCTCCGTCGATTTATGAAGCTCCGCCAATGCCTCCTATGCCACCTACCGTTCCTAACCCATCTATTCAATCTCCACAACCGGGATATGACTATACTACATATTCAACCGATCAACAATATTCTTCTGGTAATGAATGTTTAATTCTTTATTCAAATTTATTAAAACTTTTATATTTATATCTTTCATTTTAAATTTTTGTATGATTACCAAGTTTACCCTGGTTATTTTCCTCAATATCCTCAAGAATCTTCAACAAATGGCCAAACTTATCAATATTCTACTGTAGCTACATCGGCTGGCTGGGAAGCACAAACTAACCCAATTCAGTCTGTCCCAATGCAATTAGCTTCTTTCAATTGGAATCAACCAGGGAGACATACTGCAATACCTTTACCAACGTGAGTCTATATCCATTATATATATTGTGTTTCTAATTAATTTTATTCTTAAATTATATTTAACCTTTATATTACAGTGATTTTATGTCTGGTCCTAGCAATGCTCCTCGATTATCAATGCCTGAACCACATGATGTGCTCGGTGTTATTAAAGGTGTAATTATACGAGATGCTCAAGGCAACATTGGATTAAGCCAATATCAATTTAGCAGTTCCATGTGAAGTAAGTACAAACTATAATATAGGTGGAACGTTGGTAATATTTGATGAATCTTATCCAACTACCAAAAAAAAAAAATTATTGAAAAGAAACCGCAAAAAAATAAAAATTCCGCAAGAAAAAATGATTAGCGGAAAAACTTTATATATATCATCAAATTATTTCACGTTTGAGGTAATATTTTATTAACGGAAGTTTTAATCGAAAGCAATTCTCAGTGATATACATGAAGGACGTTTGTTTTTAATATTACATAAGAATGAATATGAAGTTATAATGGTGGATTATTTTATTTTGTGGGCTTTATATTCATTCATGTGGGAAGATATGATTAGTTAATTTGTTAATGCGTTGTGTATGAAATTTTGAATAGCGATTTGATGATAGATGTTATTTCGTTCTGCAAAAAAAAAAAAAAAAAAAAAAAAAAAAATAAGATTCGTTTGTTTATATATATCTATATATCATTCAACCGGATATTATCAATTGATTGTTTTTTTGCCTTAGTGAATATCTTTAGTTTTCATTCTTTTGCGCAAAATTTCTTTTGCTCTTTAGCATAACAATGGATAGTGGCAAAAAAACTGATGAGCTGTCGAAACTTAATCGCTAAGATACTAGCGAAAAATAATTATATATTGATGCACTCCAAAGCATCGTCAATGTATTTAACCAAACTTTATTACATGTAGGTAGAAAAAACGGTTATCATGGTGATTTATGATCATTCGTTATGAACAAAGGTAAGTAATACTTCGGTATTGATGGTGCTAGGCTGATAACAATTTTCGCGCTAATTCCCGATAGAAAAATTGGCGCGATGAAATTGATCTAGCCCCAGTGCAGTACTTGTAATCCAGATCACTCCTGCCACAAATATGGATTTTTATGCCAACAGGTAAGTAATTGATTTGTGCGCGCTACTTCAACTGCTATATATACTTCACCGCTCTACCTCATCGCTGCCAAAGTTAAAATCATTTGGCCTATTGAATATTCAATTGTTTGATTATACCTACCTATTGTTTTATGTATAATTTATGAAAGATGTATTGTTGATCTTACAAAATAATTGTGAAAAATTCTCGTGCTTAATGTAATAATAACTCAATCAAAATAAAAATATATAAACTATTTTTTCATTTTGATTTCTATTAAAAGATATACTCGGTATACATGTTATATTCTTTCTTAAAGTTTTATTATTGTAATAATTGATAATGATGATTGAACGATTTACTAGTCGTTAATCAAATATATGCCTTAACAGATATCGATATATTTGTTTTTTATGATATTTTACAAACAATAAATATCATTTCAATAAAATTTATATATAAATGGTTATTTTCTGGTATTATTTTCACATATTAAATTTTACACTTTTATTATCAATCTAAGGTGTTTTGCATTTATGCATACATACACCTCTCAAACCCGGTTAATTAATCGGGCGAACATCGTTTAATACGTATTTTATTCTTATTTTAATCAATTTTATATCTATTAAATGATTAAACACAGTATTTAAATTAACTAGTAAAAAATTTTCTGATTTGAATTTATTAATTTTATTAATTTAAATCTATACAGTGGTGAGTTAGTAGAAACATATCAAATCTTTTTTAATAAAATTTTTTTAAACCTTTAAACAAAAAAAAAAATTTATACAAATTTTTTAAATAAGTTTATAGAATTAACTTAAATTTTTATTTTTTATAAAATTTAATTAAGCAATTGCAAGAATTATTACTGTATTCAAAGGTTTAAAAATTTTTATTTAGAAAAAATTTGGTGTTTCTACTAACTCACCCCATTTAAAAATTAAATAATTTTTTTTGGTATATACTGTATATACTGCATATTAAAGTGAAGGTTAAGACAAATAAATTGTATATATTTTTCTATTAATTGTTTTATTATACTGTAATTACTAAAATATATACAGTATATAGTTTCAAATTAATTTTTTTTAAAAATAAATACTTTTTAAAATTAATAATATTGTAAGTACTAGAAATTTAAGCTAGCATTAGACTTAACTTAAAAAACAACTTACTATATATACTAGTTGTAGTTATTCTTTATACTGTATATAATTATCTTCTATATAACAGATACAGCATACTGTACAATGTTCTTTTTATAATACTATTAAAAAATATTTGACAATATACAGTATGATACAGTATCTATCAAATTTTTTTTATATAATTATATGCGTATATTATTATTAATTAATAAAGAAAGTTACTAGTGTTGGCGATGACCCAAGTCATACCCATTTTTTTGATATAACCTTGGTCACATAATCATATAATTTTGGTCATAGGTCATATACATGCTATTTAAAAAATATTTTTACTACGTATCGCTATAATTCTTACTATATATATTAAAAGCCAAAGTCATCAACTTTTCGTAATATAGGTCATCTGCCAAGTTTCTATTTCACAAGTCACGTGTCGATTATCCAAGGAAGACCTGTATTTTTGATTGGTCACCCACAAATACATTCATACGAGATCTATGGTTACTTTATCAATTGCTAGATCACCCTCGCCTTTAAAATTTTGGAACTTCGTCTTTAGTTCATTAAATCAGTACAAGGGTGTCTGATAAATGTAGAATTGGCTGTACTTATTAAAAAAAACCAACATTTAATTTTATAGGTGGCTAAATTTAAAGATAAAAATGTCCAAAAGATCACAACGAACGAGTTATTCTGAGGATGATACAAGCGAAGTGATCGATCCTACAAGTTCGAAACGTGTTCGTTTCACAGGAGAAAGTTTCACAGACAACCGAGATATAGAGGACGACTTTGAATTCAATCACGAAGATGTTCTGGAATCTGCCAAAAAACGTCGTGGTGCTGTCAAATTAGAAGGTTATGCCAGTGATGAAACTGATACTAGTGAAGATGATGGTATAGACCGTTTCAACCGTCGTAAAGGTGGGGGTAATAATAGAGAAAAAGCAACTGAGAATGATTTGGAAGATATGTTTGCAGAAGATGAACCTGCTTCGGTGTCAAAACTAAAAGATGAATATGATACTGATAAGAAAAAAATCAGATATTTAGATTCAGATGAAATTATTGGGCAAGATTATACTTCTAAAGATACGTTTGATGATGAATCTGGTGAACCTATGATTGAAGCTTTTAATATGAAAGCTGAATTAGAAGAAGGAAAATTTGATGAAGCAGGTAATTACGTTCGGAATAAAAAAGACCCAGAAGCTTTTCATGATAATTGGCTTCAGGGTATTTCTCGCAAAGATATTGAAAAAGCAAGAATAGCTCAAGAAAAGAAGGAAAAAGAAAGAAAGCTTCAGGAAGCTCAAGAAGCTTCAAATGATCCAATGGATCAAATATCAATATGGAAAGAGCTCTTGACTATAATGAAGCGTGGTGAGAAGTTGCTTGATACCTTTCAACGATTAGGTGGTGGATCAAGCACTAAATCTAAGAATAAACGTGCTTCACGACAATACTCAAAAAAACCAAAAGGAAAGTCTATGGAAACATCAGAATCTTCTCAACCACCAGAACAAAAAGAACTTAGTGCCGAGGAAATAGAGGAACAACAACGTAAAAAATGTATAGAACGTCTCACCGATCTATCCGACAAAATGATGGCATTGGGACATTTTGATGTGTATGAGGAGACATGGGAGCAAATTCTGAGAAACTTAAAGAAAGAAGGTGCCGTATCTGAAGATTGGATTCCATAATGTGTTTAGGTAGTGATTCTAGCCGAAACCAAAAAAAATCGACTAAGCCGATTTTTCGACCCGGCCGGTCGATATTTTGCAAAATCAGCTGGTCGATTTTGTAAGTGAGGCTATTTATCGTTATACAATAAAATGGCTTCCTTGAATTGTACACTACCAGAATTTTACATCAATTAATTTTAGTATTGTATCTGCCTCAAAAATTTCGCTTATATTCACAGTCCTTGGTAGTTCAACAGCTAATTTTCCAGCAACATTATTAAACCATGTATTCACAATATATACGGGCTAGGTGCTGCAAAAAGGGACCAAATTGACAAAACAAAAGATCTTCGGAATATCAATTTTTATGTTATATAAATCATAATAAATCATAAGAAAATGCAAACTTTAAAGAGCAATACAGCAAAATTTTATTAATGCAACTACTATTATGTCTTAAGTAAAAAATGATCCTAATCCAATATAAAGCTGATGAAGAATAGGATTCTAACCTCTAGCCTCATATACTGATAGCTCGACCTGTTGATAAACAGGTCAAACGGATCAATGTCAATGAAGTTGGTTGGCTTCCATTGGCTCCATTCAGAAATTATTCTCAATGGAGCAATGTCAATAGAGATATTCTCCATTCGTACCAATGGATAAATGTGCCAACCCATATGTTCACCATTACGAAATTATTTAATTTGCGTTACTTTAGTTTGAACTAGTCAAGCTCACATAAATTTATTACAGTTGTTTCCATAAGTTCTGGGAACTTAAAAAATTGTCGATGACCGAATTGATGTCTGCCGACATCAGTAACTTAATAATTCTGACTCGGTAACTTATCGATTCTGTCACTGAAAAATTTTTAGCTGCTTCATAATTACCGTAATAAAGAACGAAATTTAAAATAGGCTTATGAATATATCATTCTACCAGATAAACCGAAAATTTTTCGGCTAAGTCGACTAAGCCGATAAAATTTTATCGGCTTAGCCAGTCAAAAAAAATTGACCGGCTGGGATCACTACCGATAGTAATACTTTATATTTCTTTAGTCCGCCCTCCTTAGAGAATTTTCAAAAAAATGCGCTTGGAATAGAGTCCTAGCATTTTCATATGTTAAAACCGGTTTTAACATATGAAAAATAAAACCGGTTCCAAACTCTAATCACTCCTTATTCTGTTATCAGATTTTAATTCAGTTTATATCCGGGTTATATATGCATTTATAGTTTATTGGGAATTTGATTTAATAAACGATATATAAAATCGAATATTATCGTTATACCTATTTAATTTATACAGATAATCAATTAAAAGAGAGTCCCGTGTTATATATTTTAATGTACAAGACTTTTTGGCAGTAATGTATAGTAAAAAACGTAGTACATATAACAATTTTTATGTGAATACTGTAACCAATTATTTATACAATTTAATATTTAGGTATAAAATAGTGTGTTTTTATTAATTCAAATAAAAACAATAAATGCTATAGAATATAAAATAACATAATCAACATTTTATTATTATTTTGTGTTTTATTAATTCAAACAAAAACAATATAAATATGTATCATCTAAAAAAATATTCACAATAATCAAAATAAAAAGTTAAAAATATGGTTTGCATTTAACATATGGAGAATAAATGATTCCGTTAGATTTGAAAAGAAGGTAATAATAATAGTTTAGTTTAAATGAAAAATATTTAATTTACAGGGAAAAAAGTTACACTATCACCAAACCCATAAGACCCGCAAGAACGAGTTTTTGAAATTGTTCAAAAACAAATGATCACCATTGATTTCCGAATAAATTAGTACTTTGATTAGATTGCGATTGCTGAAACTGCTGCTCTCGTTGAAGGTCTAGGAGAGATTTTGGTTTGTTAAAGTCGTTCGAAATTATTGTCTGCTGTGTTTGAAAAGGATTTTTGCTAGCTTGACTGTTAAAGCTGCCTGTATCAAGGTCAATAAGGCTATTACTAGTGGGAAGGCTAGTTGTAAAGGATGAAGTGGAAAACGATGATCCAGGCTGTGACAAGTAAATAGATAAAATTTTAGTTAATGCTGAAGTTCAAAGAAAACAATAAACATAAAAAAAATAAAACTTTACTTGATTAATATTTGTACTGAATGTATTAGGGAAATCATTTTTAACAGACGCCGCAGATTGAGAATTAAAATTAGACGGAAGAGTGTTAAAAGCTCCGCTACCAACGTTGTTGGTGTCTCCGCTGTTAAGGAATGGATTTGGTTGACTAATATTGCCTGTCGAATTGGACCTTCTCGGAGAATGTATGCTGCTTGAAGATTCATTTATAATGCTGCCGGCAAATCCCGAGCCACTGTTCATCAATAATAACTTACAATTAATTTACTGAAACATATATATATATATATTTTTAAGCGAGGCTTTTATATAAGAACTTACGTTGGGACACGAAGATTACCCACATTTCCAAAGGTATCCATACCACCATCTCTACATATTTTTATAGAAAACGATCAATGTTGGTTGCAATGAATCGTGTAAAATTGATTTTTCAGTTAAATTAACTCACCCAATATTTCCAAAGAGAGCCGCCAATTGTGGATGTTTTTCATCAGTAGAGTTAGGTTTAGGTGCCTTTAAGGTCAAAGAAAAATATATGTATATTGAAATTGAATATTAATAAAATGTATTTGTCAAAATTAGCAGATATAATAAAGTATTTAAACATTTATGAATAAAACGTAGTTGGATGAAAAGCCAACGACATCAATTCTTATACAAATATTAAATACAACAAATGCATTAATGCAAAAAAATTACATACTAGTTGCTGTTTGCTACTATTAAACACATCAAATGACGTTGTTGAGGTTGTCAAATTTGGCGAACTAAAGTTAGATGCCAAGCTTCCAGAAGAAGTAATACTATTGTTTGGATATGATGATGTGGTTCCGAAATTTGCTCGTTGTAGTTGCTGTTGCTGTAACTGTTGTTGCTGTATCAGCTGTTGTTGTTGTTGTTGTAACTGCTGCTGTTGTTGTAACTGCTGTTGTTGTTGTAACTGTTGTTGTTGTTGTAGCTGCTGTTGTTGTTGTAGCTGCTGTTGTTGTTGTTGTAGCTGCTGTTGTTGTTGTAGCTGCTGTTGTGAAAATGGTCCAAAAGGATTGTTTGATCCAACAGCAACATTTGTTTGTAATATTGGGGATTGCTGATAAGGATTGATTGATTGTTGTTGCAACTGATATGGATTATTTAAATATTGTGATTGATTACTAATTAAAGCTTGGTTGTCAATTGAGCCAAAGAGATCTAATGGTTGACTGTTCTGATTTCCACTAAATTGATTAAGTTGATTAAATTGAGAATTTGTATAAGCCATCGGATTGCCAAAGAAGTCTGTTTGTTGTTGTGGGAGTTGACTGATGTTGGAAGAGTATCTGTTTGTGAAAATATAAGTCAAATAAGTTTCATATAGAAAAAAATAAAAATAATAATATATATAGATAATATATAAATTACTGACGCTGGATCAAATAATGATTTTTCATTTTGCTTTTCGACCATTGCCTGCCTCTTTTCTTCCTCTTCTTTACTTAATTTGAGCGCCCTTTCTAGATCCTCTTTTTCTCTTTTACTACATTTCATTAAACATAATTCAAAATAAAACAGTTGTAAAACTTTGAAAAAATAAATTAATTAATAAATAGACCCTCATTTTTACCTATTTTTTTCACTTTCGTTCGCTGATTTTAAGCTTTCTTCCATTGCTTTTTTTATATCAGCATCTTCATCGTCTAAATTTCCAGGATGATCATAAAAATCACCTGCATAATCTACATTTCGATTAGTTGACCCAGGCAATTCATTATGGCCTGTTAATCGATCTCTCATATTAGCCCTTTGACGTCTTTCAGAATTAAGCCGCTCATCATCTTGGAGAAGATTGGTGATATCTTTAGCCTTTTGTCGTACTGTGTAGTATTTAAATATTATAGTGAGACGCATTAAGGAAAAAAAAAAAAAAATCAATAATTTCCTAAGCTTACCATTAGCACCTTGATCTTTCCCATCATCATCTATATATTGAAACTCTCGTAGAGTTTTTACTACATATATATTTTCTTTAGCATATGCAACAACCTCTTTAGACCCTACATGAAGGCAATAATCTAAGAGAGTAAGGGCCTGCGTAAAAAAATAAAAAATCATATAAATTCTATAATTAAGAAAAAAGAAAATAACAGAAGCAGAAGAAAGGATTGAACAGAAATGAATTATCCCTCATAAAACACGATACATTCGCAATCACTTACTTTGAAAACATGCCTCCAATTTTTACCAGAGTCGTTCAATCTTTTATCGACCATTTCCATTATTTCTATAAAATAATGTCTAAATTCTCGCAAAAATTAGGTTTAAGTTTAGCAACTTTTTTTTTTTCTTGATTTAAAGCTTGATAATACTTACGGGTCATATGTAGCTTGAGCAATTTCATTCATTGCAGTTCCGCTAGGGCCCCATGGATCGTTTGACGTGGCAGATCGAACTTTTGCCTGCATGTCTGAATAGCCCTTAGTATAATTTTTTCTATGAATTATTTGTGGTATTTTTTAATATTTAAAGAAATGTCAAGTATAAAGACATAAAGGCAAGTAACCATGCCTAAGCTCGCTTTTACAGATTAAACGGTAAATGAAACTCACATTGAGCGCATTGCTCCCTTGGCCACGTGCGACATTGTGTTGAAATTTTATTATTTTCTTTTTTACTGAAAGATCGTGCTTTTCTGATTTGGATTTTAAGTGTTATTTTTACGATGCTGGATGTCCTTTTAAGTTTATTGTCAAAAAATTTTAACTTGAAAAAAAAAGAGCCAAGCTCGGTAATATCAGTTGTACGTAAGTACGTACAGTACGTAATATTGTAGTGTGATCATATATATCATTGAGTACACCCGTACGGACTTACATGCGTACGAGGTTTTAACTGAGCCGAATTAGTTATACTAATTTCGGCAAAATTACTTTTAATAGTTCACTAACTGTATGCAAGTCTTGCGTATACAGGTTATTTATTTTATTTTATTTATTTATTTATTATTTATAACAGTTTAATGTCCAAAATTTTAAATCACGAGTGTCATTTATTAATATATCCATTTGGTTTTATGACGTTTATGGCATTAGCAGTAACTAATGCTGAATATAAATCTTCAATCAAATCGTTTACATCCTGTAAATAATTATATAAATCAGTTATAGTGTAGAAATAACTTTTCATAGTTTAAACAAAAAAAAACCTACTTCAATTCCAACACATAAACGAATCAAATCTTCAGGGAAACCTCTTTCTTTCCGTACTGCGGCAGGAATACTCGCATGTGACATTCTACATGGCATACTTAAATTTTGACAGATAATCATCTTAGAATTTCTCAAAATGTGTAAAAGTTATTTCTAAAAAATTTCTTACCTTATTAACGAATTGACACACCCAAAGCTGACACTAATGGACCATAATTTCGTGGATTCTACTACACGTTCACTAATTTCTGTATTATTGGTCAAAAAACTCAATACAGCACCTGGTCCACGGGACATAGTAATGTGTAAATCATATTGTGGGTGAGACCTTAACCCAGGGTACATAACTTTAAACCCATGATACTCGAGAAACTCTGCTATTCGCATCGCGTTAGCTTGCTGCTTTTCCATTCGGACGGCCAAAGTCTTGATGCCTCGAAGTAACAGCCATGATTCAAATGGTGTAAGACCGCACCCAGTTGCATTAATGGTAAAATGAATTTTCTGCAATGAAAAAGTAGGTATCAGAGGATGGATCGCTCTATCAAACAAAATTATAATATTTGCACAATTGTAAGATAAACTGTTATTATCATTTAATACTTCGATCTTTCTTTACCTCAGCAACAATTTCATCCTTAACACCTATCACGCCAGCCATTAAATCATGGTGACCACTGAGATATTTCGTTCCAGAATGTATCACAATATCCGCACCGAATTCTAAAGGTCTTTGAAGGTAAGGAGACATCATGGTATTATCAACTACTATTAAGGCATTTGGACATCGCTCGTGAACGATCGATGCAATCTTTGGAATGTTCGAAATTTTAATCAATGGATTTGTAGGGGATTCTAGAAGAATAAGGCGAGTCCTTGTAGGATGTAAATATGGTAAAAGTGTATCCGAATTCGTTGTATCAACATGATGCGTTTTAATGTCAAAACTTTTATTAAGAAATGCAAGAAGTCGATTCGTGCCTGGACAATTGCAAAATTGCAAAAAAGAAAAGACAATTTAATTTAACACTAATATCATGTGCATAAATCAAAGCATAATAATTCTTACCTCCGTATAAATCATCTCCGGCAATTATCTCCTCACCAGTTTTGACCAAACGAGCTACCACATCCAACGCACTCATACCACTACTCACGACATATGCGCGACTCGCAGACATAATTTTTGCGAGATGATTCTCTATATAGAATCAAATTTCGATAAGTTATAAATTAGCAACTGCCTAAATGCACATGAAAAAACTTGCCTAAGTGAGAACGGGTTGGATTTCCGCTTCTTGTATAATCGAAGTCTTCCATTCTTGATGCTGATGACTGCTTGAAAGTCGCTGTCTGATAAATCGGTATAGAGGAAGCATTATAAAGATCTCTAACACCTGTCCCATCTGAATTGTCTATGAAAACTAACTCTGTAGCAAGACTGTAATTTTTTCGGATTGACCTTTGGGAGGGCACAGACGGTTCCGGCTCCATTTTTCTTTTTCTTTTTTTTAGATTTAAAAAATTAGATGAATTCAAAGTGTATATCTGATATATACTCTGCTATATGTCGATATAGATCCATCTGATAACAGAAATTACGCGATTTCACATGGTCACGCAAAACGTAAGAGTTATTTTTTATCGTTATATATATATGTCGTACCCAGATTAGAATCTTCCTGCAAAATCGGGCTTCCCCTAGATAGGAATTTGACCAGGATCAGAATAGATTTAGGTTTTAGATGATATGTGCGAAAATTTTTGATGAGGAATACTGTGACTACGTACAGAATACAGTATAATATATGTTGAATTATATACTAAATAGAGATACGTATAAGTACGTACTGTACTTACAAAACTATTATTTAATTGTATACTTGCAAATTTATAAAAGCAATGTTTGTTATAGTTGCCAGAAGTAACCATTTTTGCAGTAATAATAAAAAATAACCAACTAGAATATATTAATTTTGATTATCTTGGATCAACGTTAACAAAACACAAAAAAAAAAGTCTTTAAATATGTATTTGATCATATTAAATAAATAACGTAACTATAAAATGAAATTTTGTTTTAGTTTTTATACGTAAAAATTTCTTAATTTTTATCAGTTGTTTATAGCATTATTAGTTTTAAAACAGAATAAAAAAAGAAAAAAAGATCCGTACAAATATGATCAAAATTTGGTATGGCAGTAACAACATGGCCGTACAATAATATACTGTATATACCAGATACTGTATCGGTATATACTGCAGTATATACGTATAATAAATTTTTTCCGAAATGTAGATCAATTTTTCAATTTTTATACGTCCCAAATTTAGGAATGATTATCTGAGTCACCCGATAGTTACACAATTGATAAACAATTTTTTTTTATACGTTTTACAATAACAAGTAAGAGGTGTGATCGTCACATGCTAACCAGCCAATCAAAATTGTTAATTTTAAAC